CTAAACTAAGGGCCATGCCAGTTGTTTTCTCTTATCTCGGTTGTTTTGTCATAAGATATACTCCATTAATTGATACTATAAATATATTTCCAGGATTATGAAATCCATATGCACTGCCTAAATGTATTCATTGCTTGCTTGATCAGCCGTTTGAATAACGGTAGCAGTTTATTATGACGGCAGATATTTTACAAGTTTATTTCCTTTATTGACACGAGCAACTTATCTCAGAAAGAGAGTTTGGTAGTAAGCAAAGAAGGATTAGGAATATTACCATTGTTCCTGTTTAATTGCAATGGCGAATCCATCATGGTGGAGAAAATTAATCGTAGATGGAGGTTTTAATCGCAGGTTAGAATTCTAATCTCTGATTTGTTAATCTGTGTTTAAAATTAAGTGGTGCAACACAACTCGATTAAAATAAAACCCAGATCAACAAATCCTTGATTAGCTCTAAACTTTACTTAAATTAATCCTTGTTGGTGCAACCCACCCTAAGTGTTTTGTGCATTAAGTCTATTCACAAGTGTGCGTTGCTTTTCAAATGAGAAGACACCTACATTATATCAAGCATGATGTCATGTTTTACACTTTCTAAGGGCAAACTAACTAGGAAGGTTCATCAAAGCAAACTTCATTCGAATGTTGGCTTGACAACATCGCACCTGAACGTTCTGAAGGTTTGATGCTGATGTGGACTTAATGCCGTTTGAAGACACACTTGAACTTTGAAAGTTTAAAGGTCCCCTGAAGTGCCTTGAAACACGCAGCATTATTCTATGTGGTGATGTAATTTCAATTGAAACAAGAAGACAGGACGGGACATATCGAGCAGCCCCGCCCCCTTTTTAAATTAGTCAATAGCGTTTTGTTTATATCTGCACGGGTCAGAGCCGCTGAGCTCGGTAAAGCCGCATTTGACAGCCACAGTCTAATATATTACCCCCTAGATTCAATATGAAACTCTTAGTATACAACGTGAAACCAGACCTCATTTGCCCCAATCGAAAGCATATTTACACTATCTGAATTGTTCCCTATCGCCTACATTGTACACTACGTGCTATTCACTGTACAGGAAAGACTACACTGTGAACAAGTGACCGATCTCAGCCGCAGCTTCAGCATCTATTTATAGTGTAGGGGCGGGCGCTTCAGATTCTAGAGGGCGTTTGATTGGTCAGAAGATTTGATGAGAAGATGAAGTACGATGTGACGTCAAAAAAATCGTTGAGCCGTTTTGGCGGAAGTGACAAACTAAAAGCTTTGAATGCTTATATCTTCTAAATGCGAATTTTGGAGCACACTGCCTTATAGATAACCTTAAGACTGACATATTGATACTAACACCCAAAAAACTTTAATTTTGATTTCATGGGGACTTTAACGTTTTATTAGTTGCTGCGAGTGTGGTATCAACTTCACTACTACATGGTTGCACAGTTGTTCTGGGTGGTTGATATACAATTGTTTGTTAGTTGCTAAAGTCATTTTTGATTACCCACGAATGGAAAACCGTCAGGCATGTTCACACCAAGAGTATTGCTAACTGCAAGGGGCCATTCACACAGAACATGAGACATGGGCAGTGGAGAAAAAGGTCTCAAGGCACATTTTTAAAAGTGATATGCTGCAAAAGGCGCGAGACGGTGCACGTTTACATAGAAAAAGAGGAAAAGTGGAAAGGTGGAATGGAACAACGCATTTTGTGTGAACCAGCCCTAAAGTGTCAACAATCACTTTAATTCTGTACACCACAGCTGTAACGGTAATGACAGAAGAACTATATAACTGGAATCACTGTCAGAACAATTTTTTACAGCTGATAAATGATACAAATGTTGACAATCAGAATCCATTCTGCTTTAAAGAGCTCGAGCATTTAAAGCCGCAGATGAAATAATGGCAATGCACGCTTAGAATAAACTGAACGTTATTGTGCGTTGGTGTGGATGGTTATCTTATAAATATCCTTCTTAGTGTGAAAGGGCCTTACTATATGTCAGAACAGACTGAAGGTCTGAGGCGCATCTGGGGAAGAAGCTTGAAAGCTCCAGCATGAGTTACAGTCAGAAAGAGGCTATGGACTCTGAAAAACCCTAAGCCACGTCTCTACAATAACAGTACACTGGCTTTGTTAAGGCAGCATAATGATCTGGATGCGGCAGTGTTTCAGAAGGTAATCTCACATGATCTTACTGTCCACTTGCTGTCCAGAACGCATCGCACTAGCCCACATCTCAGCATGTAACCTAGCAACATGAGCAGATAAATGAAGCCTGCCTCGGTTGTTGCCGTGCCACAGATACAGTAAATACTGTGTGTGTGGGTGATTAGTGAGCTTTAGGAGGAAAGGGTCTTCTAAAACGCTCTTCCATTCCAGCACACTCTGCCAGCTGAATCATGATCACGCTCACCCTGATGCAAAACATAATAACACGATTATCATCACAGAGGGTTCGCAGCAAGATCTCATCTCACAAGACATCTGCTGTTGTTTAAGTGTATTAGTGGAATTTTGAAACTTTTTTGCTTTTAGTGTAAATCATGGACAGAATTAGAGTCAGTGCAGGTAAAGCAGGATGCTTGTGCTCTGTCATGATATTCTTCTGACTAAAATTAACATGAAGTTCTTCTTAATCCAGCACAGATGGCATTGATGTAGCTTGTAGTTTTAGAAACAAATCCAATGACAGGTGATCAGAAAGTGTCTCACTTTACCCCACTGTCTATCTGTTACACCTGAGGATAGTAGTGTATTGACAGAGTGACCAGATGGTTTGAGTTTCAATCCAAGTGTCCAGTAAATACAATTTACCTCTGTATGCATGGTAAACGAACATTAAGAATGACTGCAAAACTAAATTTCACATTTGATGCCATGCTATGCATCAGTAATTGGAGCAACAGGTCCAATGGACAAATATCCAAAGAAAATAATAACTCGCTACTAAAGTTTCCCAATATACTCAAAATTGAATGAATATTAAAATCATGAAACTCTAGATGGTGCAGGCTGATAAGATTCTTTACATGCAATCTGTTAGCAATCGCATCATTTACATGGCACAGATCGACTGGCTTCTGATGCTTCTGCAGACCACAAGATTGCTCAACATTTAAATAGTCTGGTTCAGGGTTTGCTATTAGTTGGTTCTCTGTGGCGCGCTATCAGAGTACCTCTGAAACCCTCCACCTCCCCCAGCTCCACCTGCATAGATCTACTGATTTTCATACACCTAGCATGCTCCGTTAACATGCTAAAACTATTCCCTGAGTTGTCATGATTAAAATGACAATGGGATCTGATATGATCAGCAAAACAATAAAGAAATTAAAGCACTAACAAAACAAAACAATCAAAAATGAACTACCAAATTAAGTGATATGCCAAAATTTAATGATGTCAAATCATTCGTAAAATTGGGTATCATTCGACTTAGTATGTTGCTCCGAATCTAAATAGACCAGTCTTGTGATTTTTGGCCAAACTGTTTAGAAGATATAAGCAAAAATAGCCATTTTTCATATTTCCTGAGCACTAGGTGGCGCTGCAGCGAAACTGTGCAAGTAACCTCAGGTCATGGTTATCATAACACACACCAAGTTTGGTCTGAATATGACAAAGTGTTGGAGAGGTACAGCCTCATGTCCAATTTGGCGAGATTTTCATCGAATTCGCTTCGTCGAATTTGTTTTGTCGATTTCGAGAACGGATGTGTCTATCTAAAAGCTTTTGATAACTTTTTGCCAAGATGGTCTGAAGATGATCGGTGTCAATTTTGGTGAAAATCGAATGAACTGTCTAGGATGAGTTCGAAAATGTAGGTTTTTCGAACTATTAAGCTAATAGTTCAAGCCAGCGGAAACGTATATTTTCCCATTTCTTCATTATATATTTTGCTGAACGCATCCTCAGGTTTGTTAAAGCCTGATCTTAGATACTGCTTTTATGCCTGAATCTGACTTTGTTCCTCTCGACTAAAATACACTTCAACAGTTACCCCATTAAGTAATTAGTAAAGAATATAAATAAATGATTTATCAAACTTTTATTTTGTCAAGTTTGAAAGCTTTCAGTACATATTGCCATAATATCTACTAACATCCAGTAAAATCCAGTGCCTGCATTTGTGATCAAACATCTGGTTTAAAATCAGAATAACATTTAAAATGGGTTTCTTCATATGCAACTCCTTTACTAACATGTACTGATTTAACATGTTCAATTACTTGTATTTGGCTAACACATAAGAGGTCATATTCAATACTATTAAATCAAAAGTCATCACCAAAAATATTGCATTCTCTTAATAAATATTACAGTATCTTTAGCAGATGCCGTCAGAAGACATCCGGTTCATCTGTTATCCAAAACCAGTTAACAAACCTATATTAACCGAAAGTCTTCTGTCAGCCTGAGAGGTTGACAGAGGAAAAGCGGGAAACAAAGTGATAATTATAAAAAATGAGCAGGGTTTACTGAATACTCTTAGTAAATTTTGATGCTTCGACTTCATCTAAACAGCACAAATCCAACAAGTAGTGTTATACCAAACTGATTCATATGAACATCCAATAAAACATTTAAATTGTGATATTCCCTCTTATCTGTAAAAATAAATATTCCAGGAATGGCCACAATTATAAGATTAAACAACAAGTCAAGGTAAACAACCAGAAACTGATTGTAAAGTTAGACACCGGTGCAGACTGTAGTGTCATATCATTGCGTGATCTGAAAGCATTGAAAATTTACATAAACGACATGAGAAAATCACGATGTAATCTAGTGACATATTCAGGCCACAAGATGTCACCCTTGGGTAAGCAAAGCCTTCAATGCCAATACAAAGACAAGCTGTAGATGAGCAAAAAGCTTGTGCGGTTCTGGGCAGAGAATCATGCAACACATTGGGTGTAGTTAAAAAGGATGTATGAAATAAAAGGATATAACGCAACAGATATTCTGAGTGAATTTGAAGATTTATTTAACAGGACTGGGTTGTGTAACGGGAGTCCATCACATTTGGACAAAGCCAGTGATTCATCCTCCCAGGAAAGTTCCAGTGGCCCTGAAAAAGACATTGAAAGAGAACTGAAATGTCTGAAAGAGATAGGTGTCATCAAAAACAGACTGAGCCCACAGAATGTGTAAACTGTATGGTGACAATAAAAAACCCAACAAGATTAGTATCTACATAGGCCCTAAAGATTTAAATAGAGCAACAATACGGGAACACTATCCTCTCAAAACACTTGAGGAATGCCAAGAGCCAAGATATTCTCAGTGGTGAATGCCAATCAGGGATTTTGGTAGATTCGGCTGGATGATAAGAGCTCTAAGCTCTGAACATTTAACACCCTTAGGGAGGTACAGCTTTCACGGCCTCCGTTTGGGATCTCATCAGCCCCAGAGGCATTCCAAAGGTGTTTGTCTCAGCATCTGGAGGGAATGGAAGGAGTTGTTAATGTAGTGGACACATTCTTGTCTCAAGTACCAAAATCCATACAGCAGCAGTGGACATTTAGAGTTATACAGATGGATTGCTGTTTAAAAAACGGGAAACTATAGTAGTGGCAAACTTTGGGATGAACTTAGTCTCAAAATTACTAACAAATGTATACACAATTATCCAAGAACTTGATAAAAGTTGCAAATGTATCTCACTATACACAACCAAATGCCTTTCAACATGTGTCTGTGTAATTCAAAATGACATGAATGTGCAGCGGTACAAATAGAGACATGTTTGAGAATACAAATGTTTTCTTTTCCATTAGTGTATCATAATTTGCGCATACAATGAGGAAGATGTGCATTTGTGTATCAAGTGGCATGTGTGCATTTGGTGATGTCTTTTCCGAGTCAATCCTATTTGATTTATTTGGATTTTGAGACTTTCTTTCCATGGTTTTCAGCACTTTACAACTCACACACAAACAGCTACCAATGAATAAGCCCCAGTGCTATTCATTAATGTGTGCACCCATCAATTAGAATTACGTGAATGTGCAGCATTTTATTCAAATGGAGACATATTTGTAAATGCAAATGTTATATTTTGCATTAATGTGTCATCATTTGTGTATGCAGCAATTAAGATGTGCATTTGGATCAGGCGACACACGTGCGTTCATTCACATCTTTTCTGAATCGGTTCTGTTTGATTCATTTGGATTTTGAGACTTTCGTTCTGCCATTTTAGCCTTGCACAATCCACACACACACACACACACACACACACACACACACACAATTATCCAAGAACTTGATAAAAGTTGCAAATGTATCTCACTATACACAACCAAATGCCTTTCAACATGTGTCTGTGTAATTCAAAATGACATGAATGTGCAGCGGTACAAATAGAGACATGTTTGAGAATACAAATGTTTTCTTTTCCATTAGTGTATCATAATTTGCGCATACAATGAGGAAGATGTGCATTTGTGTATCAAGTGGCATGTGTGCATTTGGTGATGTCTTTTCCGAGTCAATCCTATTTGATTTATTTGGATTTTGAGACTTTCTTTCCATGGTTTTCAGCACTTTACAACTCACACACAAACAGCTACCAATGAATAAGCCCCAGTGCTATTCATTAATGTGTGCACCCATCAATTAGAATTACGTGAATGTGCAGCATTTTATTCAAATGGAGACATATTTGTAAATGCAAATGTTATATTTTGCATTAATGTGTCATCATTTGTGTATGCAGCAATTAAGATGTGCATTTGGATCAGGCGACACACGTGCGTTCATTCACATCTTTTCTGAATCGGTTCTGTTTGATTCATTTGGATTTTGAGACTTTCGTTCTGCCATTTTAGCCTTGCACAATCCACACACACACACACACACACACACACACACACACACACAATGCAATTGCATCACTCACCAATGGATCCTCTGCAGTGAATGGGAGTCCAAACAGCTGATAAAAATAGTCCACAAGTAATGTAACTAATCCACAAGCTGCATGTTTAATAAACAAATGCATCATAATGTTTGCCACATCTTCTGGTTAAAATAAGTCCATAAATCAATAATCCATTATAATGCTTCCTCCAATGAGAAAGTAATCTGGTCTGAGAGAAATATGCACAGATTACTATGGATTATGGACTTGTATTTTAGTCAGAAGCAATGGTTTGAAGTTAAAAACGTTTTAATGATGGATTTGTTTGAGCTTTTGGCTTCTCAAGATGTTAACTGATGGACCGGACTGGTGTGGATTACTTGTGGATTATTGTAATGTTTTTATCAGCTGTTTGTATCCACATCTTGGGTGATCTGATGGTGAGCACATTTTCAGCTAATTAATTATTTTTGTGTGAACTCACCCTTTAAGATAATTTAGTCTCAATATTTAATCAATATTTCATTAGTATTTATTTATGAGGTAATAATAAATACACTTTTACCAAATAATGTCTATAATACCAATAATGATAATATCTAGCTGGTAATATCTAGGTGTTTTATTTTGCAGTAATGATCAGCTGAATGTACATTATGCAGTACGTGCTTTCAGAACATGCCCTGTTTGCTGGAGCGTGTTGGGCACCAGCTCAGACTGTGGATGATTTGCACAGGAGTGTTTGTGTTCACAGTTTGCTGAGAAGACATGCGAGTGAGACACACTCCTGCTGTGACGTCTCTCCTCTGGTGGACAGCAGAAGCGTCTCGGTTCTCCAGCACCTGCTCAGGTAAGCTTCACCTTCATCACGCATCATTCACACAGTAGTGTGATCCTGCAGATCGTCACATCTCTCGGCTACGCTGAGGTTTCCCTGGTTTTCTCCCTGCAGGCCTTGTGGAGCACAGTGAACTGGATGAGAGGGCCCTTGAAGCACTGAAAGAGTTCAATGAGGAAGGTGCACTGCAAGTTCTTGTCCAGTTTAAAGAGAGCGACCTATCCCATGTGCAAGTAAGTGTTCTCGCTCTGCTCTTTGAGTCAGTGTAGTGAAACTTGGGAAGGTTTTACTAACTCACTCTCTTGCTTTCACCCAGAACAAAAGTGCCTTTCTCTGTGGAGTGATGAAGACCTACAGGCAGAGAGAGAAACAGGGGACCAAAGTTCTAGATTCCACAAAAGGATTTTTATTTAACATTTCACTTCAGTGAAACGAGCACCTGTGTTGATTGGTTTGGTCATGTTTTTCAGACTTTGCTTGAGAGAACAGGCTACACCCTTGATGTCACTACAGGTCAGCGCAAGTACGGCGGCCCTCCGCCAGAATCTGTCTACACAGGTGCTCAGCCCACGGTCGGGACAGAGTTAATTCACATCAGGACGGTGGCACTCATGCTGTGATGCGGAGCTGTTAAGTGCTAGATCTCCGGGGGTCTTCTCGGCAAGAAGAACACCAATCAATGGACAGACTCCACTTCAAAGCATAAGCCTGCCTCGTAGAGGGGGCTCTAGCTTGAGTGATAGTGTCTATCACAGCCTGTGATAGATCCCTTAAGTTTGTCGCATCCCATCCAGGAGCCACACGTTTGTTCCAAAGATCCGGTCACAGGTGCAAAATCCTGCCCCGTCCCTGAGAAAGAAGGTCCTTCCTCAGGGGGATTCTCCAGGGAGGGGCTGTCACGAGGAGCATTAGGTCCAAAAACCAGGTCTGGGTGGGCCAATAGGGCACCTCCCTGATCTTGCACGGGGACCGTGCAAGGAGGCTTACTGGGGCCCAGGGCCAGTGGTGCACCAGCGTATCCATGCCGAGGGGGGCCTCTGTCAGGGAGCATAACAGCTGGCAATGGGAGGACTCCTGGGAAGCAAACAGGTTCACCCTGGGCTTCCCCGAATCGACTCCAAATCGGCTAAACCAGATTGGAATGGAATCTCCATTCTCCCGGGAGCGTAAGCTGATGTGAATGCATATCAGCTGTATAGTTGAGCTCCCCCAGGATGTTAATGGCTCACAGCGACTTGAGCTGCGACTGACTCCAGAGGAGGAGAAGGCGGGCGGTCTGTCCAGACGAGCATATGCTTGTCTACAAGCTGTGGTTTCAAGATACATAGATCCAGGATCGTCGTAACCTACCACTTTTCTTGGGTACAATGAAGTAAGGGCTATAAAATCCTGACTTCATCTCAGCTGGAGGGACTGGCTCTATTGCGTCCTTCGCCAAGAGGACCGCAATCTCCGTGCACAGAACAGGGGCATCTTTGTCTGACACCAAGGTAAAAAGAATGGCCCTGAACCAGAGGGGATGCCTGGCGAACTGAATCGCATAGCCAAGTCGAATCGTCTGAATGTCCAGATAAACCATATATTATCGTAGTCCTGTGTTTAATAGTCACGTTGAATCAATGAAAGCAGTTCAATCTTGTTTCCTGGAACAACGTGCATTACCTTTCTTCTGCGGGGCATATTTGGGCTTTATTTTGGCCTTCGGATGGAGATTTACTACTGATCACAAAACCGTGCTTCACTGAAAGATACGCATGACAATCGCCTAATCACGATTGTGATTTAATTTCGATTAATTAGCACAGTCTACACCTACAAATTCTGTCTGTCTTTAGCAATAAGAATTGAAGATCCAACTGTATCTCTGAGAAACAGAAAATAAAACCTCTCAAGGACAATTGCACATTTGTAAATCTGTCCAGATGTCAAAGAGAAATGCTGCCTTCACACAGAAATGCAAGAGAGATGAGGGTGAGAAAGAGGAGTGCTGAGAGAGAGAATGAGTGTGATGTACCCACACACATCCACATTAAGGACACAAAGGCACAACGGCAGTATGAAGAGCTGCATTTACAGTTTAACATGATCCTGGAGGAAAGGAAAAATCATTCAGTTTGTCTCTGAGACAACGGGCATGAAATTAAATGGAAAGCAGATGGAGAAGAAGACTCCTGCTTCTTGGATGTTTTTCCTGAGAAAAGACATCCATAATCTTACATGGTATCCTAGAGAACTGCAGAAGATGTCTCAAATTATGCTCAAGTTTAGGGCTGGGCGATAAACAATATCATATTGAGATCACAATAACATTTATGTCGATACCTGTGATAAGCTCTGGACATTTTTACTAGACATGGATTAATCCAACAGTCTGCCACACAGCAGAAACAAACTCGATAGCAGCAGTCAGTGCATGTCGCTATAAGTCTGCATGTTCTGCACATCTCTGTGAATGAATGGCACAGTTTCGTCTAATCTGATTCACAAATGCAAACACACATGACACTCGTCTATAATATATGAGGACATGAACTTCATCTCTAGAGCTACTCTGAGTCACTTCAGCAGCTTTTCACTGTTTACATTGAGAAAAACTACCATCAAATACACAATGAAACTGAAAGATCTTCACGGCAATCTGTCAAAATAAAAGTCTGGTTTAACTTGAAGAAATAGTAATAATTCCAACAGCAGATCTATAAACAAGTATTATGCAGGACACTCACGTGCAGCCGTCTG